TTTTTAAGTAATCTCTACACCCGACTTAGGGCTGGAACTTGCATGCTCTACTAACTGAGCCAGCCAGGCACCACTTTAAAAGAACTATTAATTGCTGGATGTATTCAGATTCCATTTGAATTTTTTTTTTTTGTATGTGTATACTCCCACAGGTATGCGTGTCCATGGCAAGAGTTGAAATGTTTTAGACTTGTTAAATTACTACTGACATTTGAATCTCAAGTGATTTCCTACAGGTTTTGCTGAACTGTCTAGGGTGAATCAATTTAATGCTGTCTCATGTGTACAGGAAACCAACAGTCCTGCTCTTTCTTTTAAGTTACCAAAGCTCATTTCCTCTGTCCCAGATGAGGTGGAAAACAGTCCAATATTGGTGACTAAGAGGCTATCATGACCAATAAAATCAGAGTCAGCAATTACAAGTACATTCACTGCCATGGAATAGAGAACAGATTCAGCAGCTACTCAAGTTTTACTGCTTTTAAACATATTCAAAATAAGAACGTCCAGGGGCACCTGGGTGGCTCAGTCGTTAAGCGTCTGCCTTCGGCTCAGGTCATGATCTTAGGGTCCCGGGATTGAGCCCCCGCACGGGGGCTCTCTGCTCCGCGGGAAGCCTGCTTCTCCCTCTCCCACTCCCCCTGCCTGTGTTCCTGCTCTCTCTGTGTCTCTCTCTGTCAAATAAATAAATAAAATCTTAAAAAAAATAAGAAAGTCCAGCCAAGATTTTTACTAATTTTTTTCTGAATACCCAACTACATTTTTCTGAATGTTAAATGCCATAATGATAATGCATGGGTCATTTTTCTAAAGAGAGGATTAATTATATTGGGTTTTACCATAGCCAGTTTTCCCAATACTTTCAAAATTCAGATCACCCCGACAGAAGAGTAAATGAGGTCTCATAACATTTTTCTTGTCCACAGTGTAGGTATGAAAGTTTATTCTGAGTGGAGGATTAAACGTTGTCTTTCCCCACCTTGATTACCGGCTTCCTTTGGCCTTTTTTCACTTTTAAGGATCAAAATCACTTTACTCGATTTACAACCAATCCTTGTTTTTACCTTCCATTTAAGCTAGGTTATTTCTAGATCGTACACAAATGTGTAATCCTCACAAAAGATAAGATAGATGAAGACAAATCTTTTCTCACCATTCGGTTTCAGAGGCTGTCACAGGAGAACGAAGTGCATGAAAAAGCTTTCGTAACATTGAAGTTTTTTTTAAACGCAGTTGAAACATAACTGAAAATCCACAAGAGGGAGATGCTAAATCGCTAGAAAAAAACTCCCACGAGGGACCAGAGAGAGCTTTAGGAGGAGCCAATGGGTCCGCCTGGGACTCAGGGTGGGAGGGAGCAGGTGTACATAGCGGCTGGGGGCTGGAGTGGGGACTACAGTTGAAGGGAAAAGCAAGCTGGGCTCCATGTCTCTGGTCCCTTCTAAGACCACGGGGAAAAGGTAAGAGGGTGTTGCCAAAGAGGTAGCCGCTCCGACCTACCTCCTGGTAGTTGCAGAAGAAATGGGGGTGGTTGTCTTTGAAGGCACTTCCGCTTAGCAACCCCACGCGGTTGCTAGGGAGGGGCAGTAGTGGGGATAACCCGGAAGTGGTGGTGTCCATTTCTTACTGCCTGCTCTAAGTTTGTCCTATCGCGAGCGCCAGGGTGCTCTGCGCCGGGCCGAGGGTGGGGCCAGCGCTAGTGGTTCCGGCTCGGCTCTTAACAGCCCCTCGGCTCCTCGCTTTCCCCCTCCCCTCCCGCGCCTCCTCTCCCGCCGGCTCCTGGGAAAGAGAGAAGCCACCACTGCGGGTGGGTAGAGAAGAGCTCGGCGACTCCGGGAGGGGACCGCTCCCGCCCTATCTGAACCTCGGAGCATTGCTGGACCAGGTACTCACTCCGGCTTCGACGGGGTCCGGGAGGCTGGAACCTGAAGGTGTGTGTGTCTGTAGGGACTGGTGGGGGGCCCTTCTCCGGGTTGGGGAGGGGGCCGCGGAGATCCTGGGTGGGGCGCAGGCCGGCGTGTGTGCCTGTGGCGGGTTGCGGGGGTGGAATGGAGGGTTTGGGGGACACCGCTGGCAGAGAGTTTCGGGTGGCTAGCTCGAGGTTGCGGAGGAGGCGACCCCTCGGATGCAGAAGACTTCCGCCGGAGTGGACCGGGAGTTTGCCACCTGGAGGGATCGCTCTGAAAGGGGGAGCATCCTCCCGGGCCAGAAGGGGAGCATGGACCTTGTCTGAGTGATTGGGGCAATCCCTTTCTTCCCCTGCCTACCCTTCTGTGACAGAGCACGGCTTCCAGGGTTGTGGGGGTTGTGAGGCGGCTGGGCACCGCGGGGAGCCGCCCTTGGCGGAGCTAGGGCAGAAGAGTGGGTAAGGAGACCTCCCTCCACCCAACTTCCGTGTGCTTCCCCCACTTCTTCCTTTACTGCTCTCTCGCCCCAGAGTCCTACCGGAGCGGTACCTCCCAAGTGGGCAAGCATCACAGCGTAAAAAAGAGGGTGGAACTAGGTTCTTTGCCCTTAAATGATACTTCAGATGTTTGGAAAGTGCCAGAATAGCATATTCAACCAGGTCTCCCAGTTCAATGTTAAATCTGGTATAAATTGTCTTAGAAAAGTGCAACACGGAAAAGCACCAAACTACAGGGTAGTCGGGCATAACCATGTTTGGTAGATATGCATGTTTATAAAAAATAGACTGGGGGAACTATACCGATATAGAGGTCTAGGCGAGACATGTTGAGACAAGCCTCCTTTTCCAATCTCTTTCTTACCTGTCAGTAAGCTGTCCTAGTTTAAATGAAGCAGAAAGATCCTCTTCATTTATATTTTAATTAGCGACTGAAGTATGCGAACGTTCAGAGAGACAAGATCCTCAGCTTTTGAGCCTGTCTCTTAATCTTGTAAGGAGATAATTGTGGTCAAGTGGAAGTATTGGCTTTGAGGTAGGTAAATCGGGGATTGAACTCAGACTGTGCCACTGGCTAGTTGTTGACCTTGGGCAAGTCATGGGACGTACCGAGATTTAATTTCTTCATAAGTAAAATGAGTTAAAATGTTTACCAGTATTGTAAGGGTGTGTGTTTGAGTATTATATTTAAATAACAGTCCACTTCAGGGGGGCCTGGGTGGTTCAGTGGGTTAAGCCTCGGACTCTTGATCTCAGCTCAGGTCTTGATCTCAGGATCCTGAGTTCAAGCCCGGAGTTGGTCTCCATGCGCACGTGGAGCCTACTTAAAAAAAAAAAGAAAATAAATAGCAGTGCACTTTAAATGGAAGCACCTTCCTTTTTTTTTTTTAAGATTTTATTTATTTATTTGACAGAGAGAGACAGCGAGAGAGGAAACACAAGTAGGGGGAGAGGGAGAAGCAGGCTTCCCGCAGGGCAGGGAGCTCGATGTGGGGCTCCATCCCAAGACACTGGGATCATGACCTGAGCCAAAGGCAGATGCTTAACGACTGAGCCACCCAGGTGCCCGCCCTTTTTTTTTTTTTAAGTCAGTCTGCAATCCTTTTTCACAACCTCACCTTTTTTTTTTTTTTTAAGATTTTATCTATTTGTCAGAGCGCGTAAGTAGGGGGAACATCAGGCAGAGGGAGAAGCAGACTCCCGCTGAGCAAGGAGCCCCATGCGGGACCCATCCCAGGACCCGGGGATCATTACCTGAGCTGAAGGCAGACGTTTAACTGACTGAGCCACCCAGGCGTCCCTAAATGGAAGCACCTTCTAATTGAAAGATGGATTGTTATTATCTCAGACAGTCAAGATAGCCCAGGATGGGAAGGGAACTGGATAATATTGCAAAGACATATGTATACAACAGGACTTTCAGTGGCTTCTAGAAATTTATCAGAAGTAGCATGAAATTCAGTTATTAGTAACTTCTTTAAACTCTACAAAATAGAGAACAGTATGTGCATTTATTGAAGTGACCATTGTTTCAAAAGGTTTTTCTCGGATTTGTAATGTGTATAGTGTAGCATAAAAAAAAAAATTTAGGGGCTCCTGGGTGGCTCGGTCGTTAAGCGTCTGCCTTTGGCTCAGGTCATGATCCCGGGGTCATGGGATCGAGCCCCCGCATCGAGCCCCCTCATTGGGCTCCCTGCTCGGCGGGAGGCCTGCTTCTCCCTTTCCTACTTCCCCTGCTTGTGTTCCCTCTCTTAGTATGTCTTTCCCTGTCAAATAAGTAAATAAAATCTTAAATTTTTTTTTAAATAGTGATGTGTACAAATTTTCTTTTAAGTTTTTAATTCCAGTTAACAGTGTTATATTAGTTTCAGGTGTACAATATAGTAATTCATCACTTCCATACATATAACGTATATAAAGTTTAATTAACATCACATGTCTCTGAAGAGAATTAAAATTGGGGCATAAAATAGAAAGTAGTTGTAATTTTAAGATTAACATCAACATCAGTAGCATGACTTAATTAGACTTTAGCAATACTTACAGAATTCTTATGTATAATATTCTGTAAAATAAATGAAAACAGAATGAATTTCTGCTTTTAATCATTCATGATGAGAATATAGAACTAAATCTAAGAATAGTAAGTCTTTATATTCATTTTATAGATTTAAAATGATACAGTTATATGTAATCTCTTATGTCAGATTATCAACTAATACAGTTTGGTTTTTGATGTAACTGGTATGTAATTTTTAATTTTTTTTTAAAGATTTTATTTATTTATTTGATAGAGAGAGAGAGGGAACACAAGCAGGGGGAGTGGGAGAGGGAGAGGCAGGCTTCCCGCTGAGCGGGGAGCCTGATGCGGGACTCGATCCCAGGATCCTGGGATCATGCCCTGAGCTGAAGGCAGACGCTTAACGATCTGAGCTACCCAGGCACTCCCGCTTGTAGATTTTTTTGTAAGATTATTCAACTTTCTGAATGACTTTTCTGAGTGTATAAAGTCTTTTTTTCTTTTTCTTTTGGTATTAAGTCTTTAGTGTATATGTAAGCTTTTAGCTGTGTTTCATTGGATCTCCATTTTTAATCGTCTTTTGAACCTTAAAATTGAGGCTGTATTATCTTGCTTTGGTAAAGCCATCAGAAGCTCCCATTTCCCCCCCTATATTCTGATAGAACTTTAATTTATTACTAAATTAAATTTACTTTGGGATATGAGATAGGATACTAGCTGTTAGAGGAAAAATATCTACTTAAGTAGTAGTAGGCAACATTAGAGACCGTTAGGACACTTTTCTCATTGACCTTTTCCCCTCAAAGTATGTGACCATTCCGAGGATCTTTGCAGTTGTCAGTTTTGGAATTTGCTTGTCAGGAAATCTAAAAATGACTAAACATTTCTTTAATATTGCATCTCTTGGATGATTTCAAAAAGTTTTAGGAAAGATTGGGAAGTTTTATATACCATATGCTAGAAACATATAAGGAACAAAGTACAGTTAATTTTACTGATGCTACCAAATTGGTAGTGAAACAGTTACTGTGGAAATGTTTAAAAAATGCCAAGCAGTGCTTTACTCAAACCAAATGATTAGTCTTCCAGAGCTTGTTCCTTTTTTAAAAGTATATTATTTTCTGGAGATACTATTTGGTCTCTACTAAGGATAAATAATCACTTACAAAGAAAAAAAGGCTGATATCACAGACAGATTTTAATATCACCAATTGTAGAAATTGCTTTTCAATGGTTTTAGATAAATGGAAGTAGATTTTCATGAAAGAACTTTAGAATTTGTGGCATGATAGTTTTTCTCTTTTTAACATCTAAGTTATCTCTACTCATTTCTGCCTAATATAGAAACTTTGAGAAGCTAGGAGGGGAAAAAAATGAAATTACTTCAGAATTACCATTTTAAGTTTTGTGGATTACTTATTTGGAGAACTAAATTGGATTTTGATATTATTGGGATTGTGTTCAAGATGGACTCAGAAAAAAAATCAGATGCCATCTGTTTCAGATTCCTTATTCCCTCACCCCTTCATGTTTTATGGCTTTGAATTCATCAGATTATTTTTCAAAAATGAAAGTCCTCAGTAGATTTATATTATGTAATTTCAGCCATATCAGTGAACATATAATAAAAGAACTTGAATTTTTACACAAAAGGATCACAGATAACGGTTAAAACTAATTAAGTTATTTTTAAACTATCTGAACATTAGGTAGCTTCATACATCTTTGTCATCATTGACCATTTTTGTCAACACTTGTTGCTGGAAGTTGCTTAAAAATGGATTATGGAGATACAGAATAAATATTTTTTTCTCCTTCATGTTAACAACTAGAAGAGAAGCTTCTGCTGAGGATTTTTTTATTTAGTGATGAGTCCACTTAAATTTAATCTTTCAGTAGGGAGTTTTGCCTTACCATATGCCAGTTGCTATTACTTTCATCTAAATGGTACCATATAGTTCATAGGCCACATACTTGCCATTTTTCAGTTCAGATCTTAATAAATCCTAAGAATAGGCTTTTGGGTTTACTGAGCTGGAAAAGACTGTTACCTGTTCAGGTTACAGTAGTTGGCACCTGGCATGGACCAGAAACACCCAGGCATCTTTGAGAAACTATAAAGTAGTACTAGTGTGGTCTCTCAGAAATGGACTGAAGAGAGAGCAATCTGGATAGAAGAGAGCCATGCTTTGTCTGCAGCAGAAATGTTCTGGTGTTGTAGGAAGACTGATGGGCTGCCCCTATACTGCTCTAGTCTTTTCTTCACCAGAAGCTCCAAGTGGGCAGTGTAGTTATGGCAAGGGTTGGGGTGTCAGGGATGGGAATTGTTCTTCAATAATCACTCACCCATCACAATGGAGGCATAGACATACTGGGGAAAGGGATATTCTCTTGGATTTTGCCTTGGCCAGAGAAGCGAAATGAACAGGTAGCTATTGCCTTTGCCATCAAAGACGACTTGGTGCTTACCCTTGGTGCTGGGTAAGCCTGTCAAAATGCTACAGTTTCTTCATTAAAATGACATATAAATTTTCCAAGGAACAATATAGCATTGGACCCACACTGATTTCTGTAGCTTACATTTTCTTTTTTTTTTTTTTTTAAGATTTTATTTATTTGACTGAAAGAGGGAACACAAGCAGGGGGAGCGGGAGAGGGAGAAGCAGGCTTCCCGCTGAGCAGGGAGCCCGATGTGGGGCTCGATCCCAGGACCCCGGGATCATGACCTGAGCCGAAAGCAGACGCTTAACCATCTGAGCCACCCAGGCGCCCCGTAGCTTACATTTTCTAACCTAGAAAAGAGGTGTTGAGGACTTTTGGGCCTCTGAATGAAAGTACTATACGTTTATGTTTCTCTTGATAAGTTTATAAATACATTTTGTCTGCTGGTATTAATAAATAGTGTGAAAATGTTTTAAGTTTTTGGGGTGTGTGTGTGTGTGTGTGACGTGTCCATGGTAATCACCGGATCTCATTTTAGTTCTTAAGGCTAAATTGCTAACCATAGGTATGGTCAAGCAGCTTCTTAGCTGGATTGTTTTCTTTATTTCCTAGAGGTCACTCTCATGTAGGTGCTAGTGAGCAGGGATATGACCAATGCCAGGAAAAAGGCAAGGGGATTAAAGTTAATTTTTTTTTATTTAAATTGATTTGAATTTGATTTTATTTAAAGGTAGTTTCTTTCACTGTTCTTGAATTTCTGTAGCCTAAAGTAGCAGTATCTCCTATCTGTAGATACCCAGTTGTTTTTTAAATTAAGACTTTATTCTTTTAACAGTTTTATTTTATTTTATTTTTTTTATTATTATGTTATGTTAATGACCATACATTACACTGTTAGTTTTTGATGTAGTGTTCCATGATTCATTGTTTGCATATAACACCCAGTGCTCCGTGCAGAATGTGCCCTCTTTAATACCCATCACCAGGCTAACCCATCCCCAGGCTAACCCATCCCCCCACCCCCTCCCCTCTAGAACCCTCAGTTTGTTTTTCAGAGTCCATAGTCTCTCATGGTTCGTCTAACAGTTTTAAATTTACAGAATAATTGAGCAGTTAGAATTCCATATCTCCATATCCACAAAAACTACACCCCCATTTCCCCTATTACTAACATCTTGTGTTAGTGTGATACATTAGTTACAATTAATATACCAATATTGATACATTATTAACTGTAGTGCATGATTTTCATTAAGGTTTACTCTTTGTGTTGTATGTATTTAAGGTTTCTCCCTGTCTTTTTGTGGCTTGATAGCTCCTTTAGGTAAATGCCTAGGAGCATGATTGTTGGATTGTATGGTAAACGTTTAATTTTATAGGAAACTGCCAAACTGTCTTCCAAAGCGGTTATATCATTTTGCATTCCCATCAGCAATGAATGAGTATTCCTGTTGCTCTACATCCTTGCCAGAATTTGGTATGGTCAGTTTTTTGTACTTTAGCCATTCTAATAGGTGTTTTAATTTGCAGTTCCCTAATGACATAAAATATTGAGCACCTTTTCATATGCTTATTGGCCATCTATATATCTTCTTTGGAGAGGTGTCTGTTCACATCTTCCACCCATTTTATTAAATTGGGTTGTTTGCTTTCTTATTGTTGAGTTTTAAGTGTTCTTTGTATAATTTGTATATGTATTTTTATCAGATACGGTTTTTTGCAAATATTTTTACAGATGCAGGTTTTTGCAAATAATTTTTTCCCAATCTGTGGTTTGTCTCTTTATTCTCTCTTTTTTTTTTATTTATTTGACAGAGAGAGACATAGCGAGAGAGGGAACACAAGCAGAGGGAGTAGGAGAGGGAGAAGCAGGCTTCCCGCCGAACAGGGAGCCCAATGCGGGGCTTGATCCCAGGACCCTGGGACCATGACCTGAGCCGAAGGCAGATGCTCAACAACTGAGCCACCCAGGCACCCCCTGTCTCTTTATTCTCTCTCTCTTTTTTTTTAAGATTTTATTTATTTATTTGAGAGAGAGAATGAGATAGAGAGAGAGAGCATGAGACAGGGGAGGGTCAGAGGGAGAAGCAGACTCCCTGCTGAGCAGGGAGCCCGATGCGGGACTCGATCCTGGGACTTCAGGATCATGACCTGAGCCGAAAGCAGTCGCTCAACCAACTGAGCCACCCAGGCGCCCTGTCTCTATTCTCTTAACTGTCTTTCATAGTACGAAAGTTTTAAATTCTAATGAAGTCCACCTTACCAAGTTCTTCTTTCATTGAGTTTGCTTTTGGTATTGCATCTAAAAACTCATTGCCAAACTCAGGGTCGTAAAGATTTTGTCCCATGTGATCTTCAAGAATTTTTATAGTTTTATATTTTACATTGAGTTCTAAGATCCATTTTATTTATTTATTTTTAATGATACTTTTTTTTAAAGATTTTATTTATTTATTTGAGAGAGAGAGAGAGAAACAGCATGAGAGGGGAGAGGGTCAGAGGGAGAAGCAGGCTGCCCGCTGAGCCAGGAGCCCAACATGGGACTCGATCCCAGGACTCCGGGATCATGACCCAAGCTGAAGGCAGTCGCTTAACCAACCGAGCCACCCAGGTGCCCCTAAGATCCATTTTTTTTTTTAAAGATCCATTTCGAGCCAATTTTTGTGAAAGGTTTAAGGACTGTGTGTCTATTCATATATATATATATTTTTAAGATATTATTTATTTATTTGAGAGAGAATGAGAGATAGAGAGCACGAGAGGGAAGAGGGTCAGAGGGAGAAGCAGACTCCCTGCTGAGCAGGGAGCCCGATGTGGGACTTGATCCCGGGACTCCAGGATCATGACCAGAGCCGAAGGCAGTCACTTAACCAACTGAGCCACCCAGGCGCCCTCTATTCATATTTTTGTACAAGGATGTCCAATTGTTTTATAAAAGTGTTTTTTCTGTTCAAAAAATGTTAATGTGATTTTTTTAAAGACTTTTTTATTTATTTGTTTTATTTTATTTTTAAGTAATCTCTGTACCCAGCATGGGTCTCCAACTTACAACCCCGAGATCAAGAGTCGCATGCTCTCCTGACAGAGCCAGCCAGGTGCCCCCTAAAAAGACTTTATTTATTTATTTCTTTTTTAAGGATTTATTTATTTATTTGAGAGAGAGCACACACATGTGTGAGCCAGGCTAGGGGCAGAGGGAGAGAGAGAATCCTCAAGCTGACTCCCTGCTGAGCGCAGATGCCCACTTGGGGCTCCATCCCATGTCCCTGAGATCATGACCTGAGCCAAAACCAGGAGTCTGATGCTTAACTGACTGAGCCACCCAGGTGCCCCCAAAGACTTTATTTTTTAAGGGCAGTTTTAGATTCACAACAAAATTGAAAGGAAGAAAACAGATTTCCCATAAACCTTCTGCACTATACAGGCATAGCCTCCCCCATCATCTCCACCAGAGTGGTACATTTGTTACAGTTGGTGAACAGTTTGACACATTTGATGAACTCTATTGACACATAATCACCTGAAGTCCATAGTAGCTTTGGGTTCATTCTTTGTTTTGTACATTCTATGGGTTTGTAAAAGTGTATAATACACATCATTATAATATAGAGTATTTTCATTATCCTAGAAATTCTCTGTGCTCTGCCATTTAAACCTTTCCTCTCGCCCCAACTCCTGGGTGAGATAAATATATATATATTTAGAAATGAAAATGAATAAAATAATTCTTGGGGGTGGTTTTGAAAAGAGATTTTCCTAACATTCTCAGATGTAATTAGAAGCATTGTTCAGTCTGAATTTCCCTTTCAAAAAGATTATATTAGGTCATTAGGTGTTAATTGATAGGTGCTTAATTCTTTGAGATATGTAATTGGGCATTAAGTGTGAGCTAAATGTGGTACTGGCCATATGACAGTTGCATGTGGTAACAGGGCTTGAGGGAGATCTAAATTCAGAATTTTTGAACCATCACTAAAGTTAAAGTCCTTTGCCACTTGCCTTTTATTGTTGTGCAGGGTATAATGTAGATTTCTTGGCTGTCCTCTTCTGGTTTTTTCTTCTTCCTATTACACTTGTTGAAGACTATCCAGAAGCTTGAGCTGGCAAAGATTGACTAGAAGAGACATCATGGGTACTGCTGTATAGTTGCCTGATTATTTCCAATTTGGACTCAGAGGGAATATCTGTTCTAAACATAATAAAATGCTATCATGAGACATTATTTCTTTTTTTTTAAGATTTTATTTTTATTTATTTGACAGAGACAGAGCAAGAGAGGGAACACAAGCAGGGGGAGTGGGAGAGGGCGAAGCAGGCTTCCCGCGGAGCAGGGAGCCCGATGTGGGGCTTGATCCCAGGACCCTAGGATCATGACCCAAGCCAAAGGTAGACGCCCAACGACTGAGCCACCCAGGTGCCCTGAGACACGATTTCTTACATAGCCTAAGTAGAAACTGTTACCTAGAATTCACTTTCAGTTGGCTTTATTAACTGTCCTTTCCTGGACTTCTAGGACACCTTCCATTTTCCAGAACATCTTAACCTTAATTGGTTTTTGGCCTCCAAATATTCTGGTCATCTAAGGTATGATGCAAAAACTGTTTAATAACTCCATGTTTGGTGTGTTTTATTTGCTTTTTCACCTAGTTAATTAACAATAGACACAAGGAACGATCTGTTTGTGTGAAAGCACTTAGTTTTTCCAGAGATAGATGCTCTCCAAATCAATCAATGTGTAAGCTCACTTTGTCTTTAATGGGATCCATCTGGTTAATGCTTGTGTTTCTTGAGTTTCAGAGATTGTGGAATCATAAAGCTAAAAGAAAACGCAGAGATGGTCTAGGTAGACCCTTTTATTTTACAGCGAAATTACTGAAGTGTAGAGAGACTAAGTGATGCACTCAAGATGGAATAGCTAATGAGTGAGACTGGAACCCAGATCTCCTGACTCCCAGTCCAGTCCTGTTTCTCTTATAATACAAGAATTCATTTTAGCTTATGAAGAAATTATGATTTTGTAAGAAGTACATTTTCCAGAAAATTTAAGTGGACTATTAAACTACAGTATAGAATTCAAGTTTTTGGTTGAATTCCTAATTTCTGAAATGTCGAGTGAGTTAGTGTATATTTCTTTTTTTTTTAAAAGATTTTATTTATTTATTTGAGAGAGAGAGTGAGAGAGAGAGAGAGCACATGAGAGGGGGGAGGGTCAGAGGGAGAAGCAGCCTCCCCGCTGAGCAGGGAGCCCGATGTGGGACTCGATCCCGAGACTCCAGGATCATGACCTGAGCCGAAGGCAGTCGCTTAACCAACTGAGCCACCCAGGTGCCCTAGTGTATATTTCTTAAAGTGCCAGGTGTCACTAGGTCTTTAGTTAAGAGCAAATTTGTCATTTTTCACATTCTAGATAGAAATTGGCCAATTAAAAAATAATGAAGATATTATAGCCTATATTTAATAAGCACACATTCGGCTGCATTAAAATGAATCTTAATGTATTTTTTTTTTTGCACAGTGGAAATAACCTGTTAATATTTAATGTCACAAAGCAACAGTGGAATTCTGCTTTATGTGGTGGTATATTTATAAAACTAGAGTGGAGTGTTATGTAAAACTAAAAGTACGGATTAATTTAATATGCATCTGGTGAATTCAGGGCTTGAAGGATGCACATCTGTTGAGAAAACAAATCATAGAACTATTCAGAGCTTCAGCATCTTTAAATATGTGTGTTTTGATTCTCTTTAACTGTTTTGAAACAGTCTTTAATGGATTTAGACAAGGCTATTTGCTCTAAGGAAGCAACTGTGAAGCCATTTATGATGCTGTTAATCGTTTTATTATTCTCCACAGCATTTTGATACATTAGTATTTTTCTTTTCAATTTAGTTATTGGGGAAGGAAGGAGTTAAATGATCACCATAACAAAATAAGCTTGTTGCAGAACTGTATTTTTTTTAAAAAAAGAGGGACCATAGTTTCCTGGTTTGGATAAATTAGAAATACTTTAAAGTTCTGACTTCTAATTTGAATCCACAATCAATGAAGAAATAACCACAGAGTTCCTACTGTGTAGTCATCATACTAGTGCTTTAGGAAAATAGAAATTGAAGATAAGATTATTTACCAAGTTGGAGAAACAAGACTTAAAATTGTAGGTTGAGAGTAATACAATCCAATAAGTAAATGAATGCAAACTTGATGATATAATCTGGGAATTAGGAATTTGGAGGGGAGAACATTCAGTTCATAATCCTGATGGGAAGGAGATTGAAGGTAGAGTAGTGGATCTCAGCTCTGGCAGCTCTTTAGAATCACTTGGGGGAAGCTTTTCCCAGGATCAGTTGAATCAGAATATTGGGGGGGGTGCCTCCACAATTCGTGAAAAAGCTTTTCCAGGTGATTGTAATGTGCAGGCAGTGCTGGGAACCACAGACTTAGGTATAATTTGAGTAAGCAAGAAAGTGTTTTCAGGTCCCAAGCTAAGCAGTGAGGGAGAGTAGAAAAGACTAATCCAATCAAAGCTGTGTGCGCCAATTAGAGAGTAGGGAAAAATAAGCTTAAGGAGGCAGAATGACATCATATATGAGTAGTACTTCTCAAAGTGTGGTTCCTAAATCAGCAGCATTAGCATCACCTGGATATTTACTATAAATGCAAATTTTGAGGCCTGCTCTAGACTGAATTGGAAACTGTAGGGGTGGGGTCCACCAATCTGTTTAACAAACATTCCAGATGATTCTGATGTACGCTAAAGTTTGAGAAACAGCTGTTAATAGAGGATAATGAATGTCATGCAGAGGAAGTTAGATTTGATGTTGGCAATAAGTAGACCCATAAAGGTTTTTTAAGCTGGGGAGTAACAGCATGCATTTGTATGTCTGAAGGTAAATCTGATGGTGATGTGCAGAGTCCTTTGGACTACTAAAAGATAGGAATGAAAGAAGCCAGTTGAGGCACAGACATAATCTAATGGATATAATCAAGCACCCACGAGGGCCTGTTCTAGGGAATTATTAGTGAAAACACAGAATAGTAATAATAGTGATGGTAGTTTGAGTGTTTATGAAATGGGCAGTATGCTAAATGCTTTGGACACATCTCACTTTTTTCTCACAACAAGCCCCTGAGGTGTGGCCATTATGACAATTTTACAGATTGAGCAATGAGGCAAAGAAAGGAAGCTACTTCTGAAGTTCACATTGCTGATAAGTGGTAGACACAGGATGTCAAGTTCAAGTATCTCTACCTCTAAAGCCTCTTTTAAAGAAACAGCTAGTAATATCTGGAGACCAAGAAATAAAGAAGACTGACTCAGAAAAGTTTTAATCCTAGGTGACAGCAAGGGGAAGTCACTGTCAGAAGGGAAGTGGTGCTTACAGTGAGTAACAGGGCAAATCAGACCATTTGAAACTGTTTCGTCAAAGAGATTGTGAGAAATAACCAATGGAAATCTTTGTTTTAAAGATTTTATTTATTTATTTGACAGAGAGAGACACAGCGAGAGGGGGAACCCAAGCAGGGGGAGTGGGAGAGGGAGAAGCAGGCTTCCCGACGAGCAGGGAATCCGATGTGGGGCTCCATCCCAGGACCCCGGGATCATGACCTGAGCCGAAGGCAGGCGCTTAACGACTGAGCCACCTAGGCGCCCCCCAATGGAAATCTTTGTATTGTGCTATTGTGCTTTTTAGGTATAAAATTTAAAGTAACTTGTGATAGCTGAGTTTTCAGGTTTTGTTTGACCTTTTTGCTCATGGTGACTAAATCAGAAGAGCCACCTCATCCAGCTTTTAAAAATATCTTTTAGATTTTAGAGTAAATAAGTCCATGAATAAATTATGCTTGAGAAGCGTTGTGTAATACTTCTTTTCTCTCACTAAAGAAATATTGTGATTTAGAAAAATGTCAGGAGCATCTTTTGTTTTTTAAAGATTTTATTATTTATTTGAGAGAGTGAGAGAGCACAGGCAGGGGAGGGGCAGAGAGAAGGAGAAGCAAACTCCCCACTGAGCAGGGAGCCTGATGTAGGGCCTGATACCAGGACCCTGAGGTGATGACCTGAGCCAAAGGCAGCTGCTTAATGGACTGAGCCACCCAGGCGCCCCTGTTAGAAGCATCTTAATCTTAAAATGGTGTGGGCTTTTTTTTGTTTTTTAATTTAAATTCACGTTGGTTAACATATCGTGTAGTATTGGTTTCAGGAGTAGAATTTAGTGATTCATCACTTATGTGTAACCACCAGTGCTCATCCCAACAAGTGCCCTCTTTAATACCCCTCACCCATTTAGCCTATCCCCCACCCACCTGCTCTCCAGCAACCTTCAGTTTGTTCTTTTAACTATAGAGTCTCTTATGGTTTGCCTCCCTTTCTGTTTGTATCTTCTTTTTCCTTCCCTTCCCCTGTGTTCATTTGTTTCTTAAATTCCACATATGAGTGAAATCATGATATTTATTGTTCTCTGACTTATTTCGCTTAGCATAATACACTCTAGTTCCATCCACATTGTTGCAAATGGCAAGATTTCGTTCTTTTTGATGGCTGAGTAATATTCCATTCTATATGTATACCACATCTTTATCCATTCATCTGTCGATGGACATTTGGGCTCTCTCCATAATTGGCTATTGTTGATAGTGCTGTTATAAACTTTGGGAGTGCGTGTGCCCCTTCAAATTAGCACTTAATCTTAAAAAGGTTTAAGAAAAATTTCAGTGTTGGGGTCATTGGCTGGCTCAGTCAGAAGAGCATGGGACTCTTGATCTTGGGATCATGAGTTTGAGTCCCACATTGGGTGTAGAGATTACTAAAAAAAATAAACTAAAAAAAAAAATATTTCAGTGTTATTTTGTTTTAGTTGGGAGGCAGTCAGTAGTAAAATAACTTGACATGTTTGGGTAATTGTTTTCATAAGATGTTATCAGTTCCAGTACCCTCTTATTTTACTTATTGAGGTAAAATTCACATGACATAAAATTAAGTATTTTGAAGCATATAATTTGTGGCATTTGGTACATTCATGGCATTTTGCACGTATAACCTTTATCTAGTTCCAAACATTTTCATCATCCCCAAAGGAAAAACCCGAAACCTACTAAGCAGTTCCTTCTTGTTCCTCTTTCTCCACAGCCCCTGGAGAACACTAATCTGCTTTCTATCTCTCTGATTTATCTTTTCTGGATATGTCATATAAATCGAATTATATATATAACATGATATTTTGTGTCTGCTTCTTTCACTTAGCATGTTTTCTAGGTCCATTCATGTTGTAGTATGTATCATTACTTCATTTTTTTTTAAGGCTAAAAAATATTCTGTGTGGATATACCACATTTCCATTTGTCAGTTCATAGGCATTATGTTCATAATTTCTGTCTTTTGATTACTGTAAATAGTGCTTCTATGAACCTTCATATACAAGTTTTTGTTCAGATATAGGTTTTTAGTTTTTTTGGGTATGTAGCTAGAAATGGAATTGCTGGGTCATGTGGTAATTTTACATTTAACTTTTTTTCTTTTTTAAGTTTATTTTTAGTTTATTTTTGTAATCTCTATACCCAGTATGAGGCTTGAACTCATGACCCTC